ACACAGAGAATACTGTATACTATGTACTATAATTCAAATTAAACAGGATCGATCATTTTATTTGTTGCATTTTTTTCAGAATATGGACACGATGGCAATGGAAAGTATACACCCAATAGGAATTGAAGTTGACTTATTAGCATGCAGAAGAATATATGGTCCAATGGATAGTTACGATCTCCCTGAGGACGTCTGCTACAAACTTTGCATAGAACTTGACAGCAAAGAAGCTAATCTTCGTGACTGGAGGGGTTTAGCTGAACAGCTCCATTTGGATAGCAGAGTAATTGAAAACATTGACAGAACTATGAAATGTCCAACCAGCTGTCTGTTAAATATTCTCAGTATCATTTCAGCCCCTGGAGAGTTTTGCAAGAACCTCGGCGAGAAGCTAAAAGCAGCAAAACTAGAATTAGCCTATGCAAAAATTAAGCCATATATAAAATCGCAATAAAATACAAGAAAGAATTCAAATGCTTGGCAGATTTAAAATTTTCACAACATTAAAACATACTAAAATTAGGACCTTCCAAAAACAAAATTCCGAAATGTCATATCATATCTCTGGTGTACATATGGAACCAATGTTCGAAGCTTTGTTCATTCAATTCGATAACATTATTACTTTTTTTAGAAACTCATTTAAAAAACCTATCACTAAATAATATTTTTAATCTTTTCTTTGAAAGTTTCAGATTTTGTTGTTTTGCGTTGTTTTCAGCTATTCCGACCCTCTTATTGCTATTAATCTAGTGTCAGTTGTAGTGGTAGTAAAGTGTATGAGTAAATAAACCAATTTTACTACTCACCCGCTACACTAATCAGAATATTTCGGTTTATCTATCCTGTCGGGGCCTAAGACGGGTCCCTTATAAGTTATGATGTTTATTTAGCATGCTGTTTCTCCGTTTGTTTGTCTGTTTTAGGAGTTTTCCATCGAAATTCGAGCCTCAGTGCCGTTAATTTCAGTTAAGCGTTGTATTTATATTGCAGCAAGCTTCAACCTGGTGAGCACCAGCTAAAAGTTGGCAATAGAGTTATGATTTAGAAGAGAAAGAAACAGTGTTTAAAAATAATTTATAGTAAACATGATTGATTTAAGTTGTTGCATAGCACTGTGATTACATTTTGAACAGTTAGTAGCTCCTTCTGTGTGAAACAGGCTTATGAAAGTCTGAAGATATTTCCAGTGTAGTACTTTCAGTGGTGTGAATGGACAGTGTACACCGTAAGACAATCACATGTTCTTTCCAAAGAGTATACTTCAAATTCTAACGTGCATATGAGCCATATTGTACACTAGAACAAGGGACTCAGTGTCTCTTCTGAAAGACGTTGCGTATATTTATTATACTTGCATTTCAGCCCTTCGATACAGGAGAGAATTGAGCTGATGACACAAGTTAATTTAAGATCTTAGTTCAGCACACACTCAGTGACTACCACCAATTTAATCGACTGATTTATGCGGTGCTCTCAATAAAGAGAAAGCGCAATAAATGCATAATATATAAAAGAAGGCATACGATAGATAATTAAAATCATGTACATTATATCGAGGAGAACTTAGTGGTTTATTTTTAGAAACCATATTTGATCACTTATTAATATATTACCAGTTTTAGACCTATAATTAGTCTGTTTGATTGCAAAACATAAACGGTGTACAACGGAGACTTCGTTTACAAAATAGCCATTATTTTTTTTTATATAAAACTAGAGGGTGCGCTCGATTCGTTCGCTTACTTTCTAGTATGTGAACGAATATGAAGTTTCGATTTTAAAAACTATGACCACTAAAAGAATATAAGTTGCATGTTGCATGTTATCTCGTTCAGTTACTTCTTTAATTACGTAATGTCAGAAATACAGTAGTAAGTTTATGTTTTATGATTTACAAAGCATGCTTCATGGACTTAGGTACAGGTTTTGAGAGCAGTTTCATATCATTTTTCATAACATAAAAATATTCAGAAACCACTAAAATGATAATAATAGAAACGGAGAAAGTTGTACTATTAAAGCATGTATTAGTAGCGTTTTTAATAAATGCTCATGTGTTTAAGGATAGTTTATTAATTTACCATTAAACATAATTATGATACTTTGCCCTACAGTATGTGTTGTTAAAGGTTGTTGGTTGAGTAGCAATATTAATCAGTAAATACAGTAAATAAAAAAAATCAGTTGGTAGCACTTTTGTGATCAGCGATATCTTTCATTCACAAGTTTTTACTGAAATTGACGGGGCCTCAGTAGCCTGGGTTCCAGGCCCTAATTTTAGGTTACTCACTCTTTATTGCACTTAGTGCGCGCCATACCTAATTTAATTGGCGTCCATACTAGATTTCTTTTTCGTCTCTAAATTAACTTTCTCGTTGGTGGCGCTGTCCAGATGGCCTAACCAAACGACTCGGTCGAACGAACCGCTCGAGTTGGTTCTGTCAGTTGCGACCGAAAAATATAAAAATAACGTTCTAAAATCTACATCTTCTGATCAGCATTAAATTCGAGCAGGACCGAGACGTGAGGCATGTGTCTGCATTCTTCTGTATGGATCCATTGGATCCATTCAGGAGAATGTATGGATCCAATGAATTAACTGGTATGGATCCAATGAAATAACTTTGCATAATATAATGGATTATGGTTCCTATTATATATTATAATGTCATTGAATACACGTAGGCTATACCTATATAAAGTATTAAGATTCAGAAATATAAAACATTTCTTGACTTGTTAATAAAATACATTATAAGGTAAAATAAGGACATGTAATTATGTTTCTTAATAAAACACTCGATAAAATAAACTACATACATATACACCCGTATAGATAGTTTACCATATCAGTCTTATATAGTAGTAATATTAATAACAATAATAATAATAATAATAATATTAATAATAATGTTGAGAAGTTGTTTTTATAACGTTCTCAAAACTTTACAACATTAATTACTACAAAAACAACATCATCATTAAACCAATGACTCGATAACTTTGTCTTTTACATTCGACCATTTCATACTGGCTTTAGTGCTATTACATGCGTACTCATTTTCAATTTGGTTTTTAACTTCTAAACTGAAAGATTTCCAAATAATATTTGCATTTAGTTCTCTTTTTTTATCTTTTTTCCTTTGTAAACCAATTTTATAAATGGAGAATGTAAGTAGAGACATAAGTTCATTCACAATTTTGTTTTTAGTTCCAACAATAATATTACATCAGTTTATTGATTCTACACCGGGAAAATCGCATTTAGTAATAATTGCGTTAAATCTTTCCACACAGGTTGAATTTTTTTACATTGAACTAACATAATTATGGTGTTCATTTTCTATTTCTTTATAACAATTGTCACATAAATCACTTGTAACTATTCTCCATGTTTTTAGTCTTTTATTACAAGGTAGGATGCGATGTAAAAGCTTAAAGTTAAACTGGGCAATTTATGTAATATTTCCACACAGGTTGAATTTTTTTACATTGAACTAACATATGGTGTTCATTTTCTATTTCTTTATAACAGTTGTCACATAAATCACTTGTAACTACTCTCCATGTTTTTAGTCTTTTAATACAAGGTAGGATGTAGGATGTAGGATGCGATGTAAAAGCTTAAAGTTAAACTGGGAAATTTTTGTAATATGTTTAATATCTTTCACTTGATTGTACCATACCTCGTCCGAGTTAATTACTTCAGTGTTAAACTCTACTTCCCATTTCATTTGCGTGATTGGGGTTGTACCAATTTCAGAAATAAAGTGATTTTCAGAAATAAAGTGATTGTAAAAATATTGCTACAATTCAATGCTAGGGCCTAGGCGAGGCCTATCCTACTCCAGTCTGTGAGAATGTAATGATGGGCGCTAATACACTTTTGCGCCTAACTTTTAATTCTTAATTTTTTTTTTTACCTATTCACTGAAGGTGAATAGCTTCTTTAAAACTTCTAGATCATTCAATAATTTGAATGAGGAGCTTTACTCAATAATCTTAGTCAACAGAATTGGGAGAAATTATATGACTGTCCAAATTTTTGGGCATCTACCTTTACTAAAGTTTGTGACAAGTTTGCTCCTTACGTTTCTAGACGATTCAAGAAGGATCTGCCTAAATGGCTAAAAAATAGACATGACATTTTTGATATGATGCATCAAAGGGATGCTTTGTAAGCTAAAGCCTATAAATCAAAGAACGATGTTGATTTTAAGAACTTTCGCAAACTGAGGAATACTGTAAAATTTGTAGAGACGCTAAAGCTCATTATTACAGGTCCTACCTAAATAATAATAGCGATAACTCTAAGAAAATTTGGAATGGCCTGAAAGATCTCCTTCCTTCTAAAAAGACTAATGTACTTCCTCCTTCTTTCCCTATTACTGGTACTGAGGTTTCCGACTCGCCTACTGTCGCTAACTCCTTTGATCACTTCTTCAAAAATAACGCTGTTTTGATTTCTTCACTGATCGACTCGTCTAACTTTGCTAATCCTACTTCTTATCTCACTCATGCTTTTCTTACTTTTCAATAAAGCCTGTTGGTGAAGAAATTGTCCCGTTAGAGTTGAATTCTATCAATCCTACCCTCCTCTACACTGTAGAAACAGCGTGGAGCATTTAAACACAAAACTCCACGCAATGTTGTCCCGTTTTTGGTGACACGTTTAAAAGCTAAACGTGTTTAGCTACGATCTTGACGTGTTTATCTTGACGTGTTTAGCATTAAATGTGCTTAGGTATTTTACATCATGATGTCACATCTAATGCTAAGCACGTCAGAAGCCTAAACACATTAGGCCAGACCTATGTTACTCTCTTACCTGGCTCAAATCTAACAAGCTAACACTTAATGTTAACAAAACTAAATATATGCTAATATGTTCTTCTAAAATAAAAAGGCGAAAAGTTAATCATTCAATCGACATTTCTTTTAGACACTCCTATCCAATCTATAACCTCTCACAAACACATTGGCGTGACCATTGACAACACTCTAACCTGAAAATCTCATATTTCTTCACTTTGTAAACAACTCAACTCCTCACCTACTTACTTGCACGCACCTCTAAATTCACTAATAATTCTGTTCTCCACCTCTTGTACAATTCTTTGTTTCTTGTTTCAAGATTCGACTACTGCTGCTGTGTCTGGGGTTTCAAACCCACTACTACAGTAAACTTTTAAAAAAATTCAAAATAAAGCTATACGCATCCTACTTAATCTACCTCCTACTACTCATGTAACTTCTCTCCACTTCTCTAATGCTAAGACCATTCCTTTTTCATGACAGATATCGATATCAACTTGGCTGCTTAACTTTTAAAGCTCTTCTCCATCATCATCAAACTATTTGTCAATGCCTCACAAAAATAACAGCAAATGGCCGAATAAACACTCGACAGATCACTAAAGGGGGCTTACATATCTCCAGACCCCACTTGGAACTCTTCCAACTATAATTTAGCTTTAATGCTCCTCCTTCTTTAAATCTCTTCCCTTAGATATCCGCAATGCTACTACTTACTCCTCCTTTAAATCGTCCCTCAAAAGCTACATCCATCTTTCTTTGGTGTAACTCTGTATCTTTGGCCTTTTAATTGTTACTTGAACTTGCATTGGAAGTTCATTATAGATTTCTATTGTTAATTGTAAATTTTTATTTTTGAATTAATTTATTTTCTGTAAATTTAGAATGATATGATTTATAGTTTTTTCTCTCATTTGTATATTATATATTTATTTTATTTGATTATTTGATTAGGGATAATTTATTCTGACCTTATTTATTTCTTTCTCTGTTGTTTTGCTATTATAGTTTTTTGATCCTGCTTGATTTATTTGCATCGTTATTTAATTATAGATTTTTTTTATAATTTATATTCAGTTTTATTTATAATTTTCAATTACTTCATGTTGTAAATTAAGAATTGAAAGGTTGTCAGTTTTTCTTTTTTTCTTTTTTCTCATCTATATATTTATATTTATTTTATTTTATTTTTTTGTTTATTGATTATTTCATTAGGGCTAACTTAATGTAGTTTAAATTTATTTACAGTATAACACTATTAATTAATTATTTTCTTACTCTCTTTTATTTTGTTTTACTATGTGTACTGAGGGTCCCTAATGATCAGCTTCGGCTGGATGGACTACATTCAATATTAAATATTGCTGAAATAAATAAAATAAATAAATAAATTCATCAATTGTATCTTATTTCATTGATTTGTTTTATTTAATGGTTGAAGAGTTAGCTGGCTTAATTTAAGTATAGCAGTTTACATTCCTAGTAAGATGTTAATGGAGATTTTGGTTATGTAAAGAAACTATCTGTTTTAGCAGTTTCCTATCTTATTTCGAGCCCCAGGGCCTTGATTAGAGTTGAGCGTTGTATTTTATATCGCAGCAGGCTTCAACCCGGTGAGCACCAGTTAATATTTGGCAAAGAGGTATGATTTAGAAAAGAGCGAATCAGTGTTTAAATAATATAAAGAATTTATAGTAAACACAGATTGGTCAAAGTTGTTGCATATCACTGTGATGACAGTTGAACAGTTAATAGCTTCTTCTGTGTGAAAACACAAAGGATGACTTGCGGAATTCTGAAGATATTTCAGTGTAGTACTTTGAATGGGGCAGTATACATCGGGAGAGACAAGACATGTATAACGCGCACGGAGCTACGGTCTTAACGTCTCTACTGAGAAACGTTGCGTATACTGGTACTCAGCATTTCAGCCGTTCGATTGAGGAGAGAATTGAGCTGATGACACAGGTTAATTTAAGATCTTGATTGAGCACACACTCAGTCACTACCACCAATTTAGTGGGACTGATCTATCCGGGGCTCTCAATCAACATATAGGCCTACACCTAGAAATAAATGTTGCATAGAATACATAAAAGAAGGCAAAGGAAGACGATAATAGCTTTGCTTTTGATATTTCATTATATTTAGCTAAATTCTTGATCATTATTTATCGAAGAGAACTTGATTTCTGTGTAGAAATATATACTACCAGTTTAGGCCTATAATTAGCCGTGCTGAATCAGATTACAAATCGTTTTTAATTCCCGATTAACAGTAGACTATAAAATAAATAATATATATACTTAGATTTATAATAATAAAAAAAAAAAAAAAAAAAAAAAGCGCTATCATTTCCATAGAGAGAAGGTAATGTTATTAGAGGCATGCAATAAAGTTTTTAATACATTTTAAACGATCTTTTATTAATTTAGCATCAAACATATCATAACACTGTATCATACTGTGTGTGTTGTCAAAGTAGTTGAGTAGCAATATTAGTCAGTAAATACAATTAAAAAAATAAGTTGATAGCACTTTTGTGACTAGCAAATATGTTCAAAAATGGTATTTGCACTATATACCAGACATAGGCTATATTGGGTGGTGTGCGTGGAAAACATACACTTGATTTAGAGTACACATGAACACTATATACAGCTGCTATTCAAAATAATATATTGGGCACTATATAATTGATATCTTTATTAAACCGTTCAAAACCGTATTCGCAGCTCCAGATTTGACAGAGCGAGGTGGCGTGATGATGCGGGATCTAGCCAGGTAGTGAATACGTATTTATTGGTTCAAAACTTACCAATGCCAATCTTCACTGTGTCCACCTAACTGAACCACCTCGTCTTTCGGATAAGACATAAAATCGTTGGCCAAAGTATATTCATGGTCCATATTAAAACATAATGGCTCTGTTGTGCCACTTGGGCAGTGACGTTTATTTGGTATTGTTTGCCCATGTGCCTAAATATATTATTTAAATTAAATCAATTAGTTTTTAACATTATAACTAGGTCTGCTATCAATAGCTATTTTATGAAATAACCAAAAGTAAATTAAATTATAAACATCTTTAAAAATAATATTAACTCACGTTAATTACGAAATGCAATCGTTTACAATGTATAACAGTACCATAGCAATTAAATATAAGAATTTATTATGTAAAGTTTGTTTTCCATCAATTAGGCCTATGTATCATTTTAACCATAGACATACATACACTGGTGCGATAGTTTTGTTGCATAAACCGTATATTAATGTCGACTTTAATGTTTTACGTTATTTTATATACACACCCTGTTAATTCTGTTGTAACACAGAAATCCCTGACCTTTATGCTATTAAGTTGTGCCCTTATACAATGCTGATGTATTGACAAAAATCGTAGTAGTTGTTGTCGATAAATTTCATTTTCATTCTGTGTCATAGATTGGTAATGTAACTAAAAATTTCCTTTCTTTCGGATTCTGAAGGCTTGAGCACGTTTTCCTTCAGCTTTGTTGTTTGGCAACTAGTTGACGTCACTACGAACGAACCGGAACCTGAAATCAAATCAATCATTATTTAATAAAATTATGTTGTGGAATTGAATTTATTGATATTAAATAAAATGAACAGTTGCAGTTGAAAAATCATGATGCATATTATGATATGTGGTAAAAATTTCCAATTTGAAATATAATAACATGCATTGGTAAATCGACAAATCAGGTAGGTCAATTATGATAATAATATGATAATAAATTGTATAATTTGTATACCGCCTGTTGGTGTATATACATATCTGTATATATATATATATATATATATATATATATATATATCAAAGACACTATGCACTTCATTAGAGTTCTTGACAATATAACCAATATCCCTAACCAATCTATCTTAGTTACCATGGACGTTACCTCGCTCTATTCTATACATCCCACATGAAGAAGGTATTCAAGCACTTATCATTTTTCTTCTAAACAATGTTTGCCAGCCGAACATATTAGCGACATCATAACCATTACTAATTTCATTCTTAAGCATAACCATTTCACTTTTAACAACTGCCACTATCTTCAAACTAAGGGGACCGCCATGGGCAAGAAAATGGCACCTATGCTAATATCTTTATGCACGAGCTTGAGGAAGATATTATTTTCTTTTCTTCTTAAACCTCTTTACTTCGCTCGCTATATTGATGATGTTTTATTCATTTGGCCCCATGGAGAGGATGCTCTCACTACATTTAAATCCCATGTTAATAACTTAACATTAAATTCACTTTCGAAAATTCGCCCTCCAAAATTACTTTCCTTGGCGCTCTTGTAGGCATTTCTAACAACACTATCACATCTTCCTTATATAATACACCACTGATAACAATGAATTTGTTAACTTTAACAGCTTTCAAACTCAAAGTTGATAATAACTGCATCCCTCTCGTTCTCGACTACCATCCCAATTATAAGCTGTCTTACCTGCCAACTCAAAACTGACTATCAATTCCTCAATAAAGATAACTCAATTCGCCATCTTGTTGAAGATCCTTCCCTACTTTATAGCTAAAAGCAACCCCCTAATCTTAAATCTATTCTCTCATCTTTCTAAACTTCATAAGAATTCTGGGAGTGGGGCACGTGCCCTCCGTGCCCCCTTACTGAATCCGCCCCTGCTCTTCTGGCAATGTTAAATGTGGTATAAATCCAGATGCAATATTCAATTTCATGTGCACCTCCGATATATTCATTATTCCCAATATTAATCTCACTATTAGTCCCCTGCACTAAATTGTGATTCATCTAATGTTATTTACATTATAATTTGTAACAAATGTCAAATCGGCACTAAATTTCTCCTCCGATTTAATAATCTTAAAAAAAAATCCATCAAAGACCACTCCATTGGTTTCCCAGTAGCCTGTCACTTCAATCTCCCTCATCACAGTATGAATGACTTAAGATTTATTTTGATCGCTACCAACTTCTCATCCCTTTCCCATAGACGAAAGAAGAATTAAAACGGATACTTAGAACCAATTATCACAATAAAAGTTTAACTATTGCAAACGGTACATCACTATAAAATTCTTTTTTAAAGTACAAGGTACTTCTAGAACTAAATTCTTGTCCAAAGACAACACTTAATAAAATTCCAAACAAGAACCTGCAATTTAAAAAAAATTATATACAAACACAATAATGTATTGTGTACGAAATAAATTAAAATTAAAATCATACCAATGACTGTTGGGAAAAATGAGGTTCACAATATGCTACCAATGAGATATCAATACCTGAAGCTACTAATAGGCCTACTATCAATTTGTTTCCTGTAAATAAGTGGTAACAATTTACAAAAAGGTAAACACAAATACAAAATATACCAGAGATAAGTAGGCCTAAACATGAAAATTACGAAGTTAGTCATCTTTCACGATTTGCACGATACTGGCATAACATATTCTGTAGGCCTACCCAAACAACGCATGTGTATGTTCAGTCGGTTTAGCAATCCAGCCACCAGAGCCATGTATCCCTGCCGATATTGTTTGCTGAGTGTGAAATAGACGAATGGGTTCACAAGGCCATTAATAGAAGTTGCCATAAGGCAAAAAGATGCAACCAATGGGTCAACACTTTCACCAAATTGGATCAAAGTCATTACTGACTGCAAAAAAAGAAACAAAATTAATGGTAAACATTATCAGCGTAGATCATGAAGTCCACAGGAGTGGACGAATATTCGTGTTTAGTCAATGTTCAAAAAATATGTCAACTAGACTTTTGACTTTATCAGTCTCATATCGCCTACACAATTATGTTTGTTATGGAACAACGTGCTATATCATTTCACAATGACACATCTTTATATATATATCATTTCACAATGATACATCTTTATATATATATATATACTGT